CAACCGGGACTCCATCCGGGCGACATCCGGGTCTTCAAGGCACGGAAAGTGCCCGGAATCGAGGCCCTGGTAGGCTCTTCCGGGTACGCCATCATCTTTTCCGTTCAGGGGCCGCGTTCCGCCGCGGACATGATGGCGGGAGGAGATCTGGACGGAGATCCCTACTGGGTTTGCTTCAACGAGGAGGTGGGTCTGGGGCTTAACCTGGGGTCATAGATTTTGCTTCGGATTGTGTCAATGACTGAAGCAGAGTCATGGCGGATCTGCAAAAAGAATTCGGGCGTGCCTTGGAAGTTGCGAAACAGAACAAGAGTAGGTTGCGACACTTTGGTTCCTTAATTTTATACCTCGTCTACTCAAGTTTAGGAGGGTGCTTAATGCTCTGCTCAAAGAAAGAAGTGTGACCAAACAGCAGTCTCGGGCACTTTGCTTTGCCCGATTCGACTTCCGACAGCGTCAGAAAAGTTTTCGTCTTTTGATCTTCTGATCTGTATGCACTCTGTTTCCCTGACCTGCAATGGGAAGAGTCGGAAGCAAGATTACCCTCTGCCTTTTCCAGTGTCCAAAACATAAGCTCTACTCGCGAATCACGCTTGGTTGGCATCAAGAAATTTCAATCGCCCCTACGCCAGACTGCTTCGGCCGTGCAATCTCAGCCGTCCGGTCCGCCCGTCCGCAGCTGTGCGCGCCGTTCCAGCCGTCCGATCCGATGGAGCGCCTGCAGCCGTCCGGCGTCCGTCCGGAGCCGCTGCCGAACTCCGCGGACGAACTGAACGCAAAACTGCGCGAGCACTTCCTGACGTGTGCCTTTGCCATCCAGTGAGCGACGCCCTCTGAACTTTCAAAGGTCTGTTGAAGCCCAATGAAAAGAGTCGACAAGCGTGTCCTTTTGGATGATCAAGATGTGCATAGCGTCCGTTTCCGGGATCTAGAATGAAAGCCAAGTACTTCTGTAAAATCTTCAATGATCAATGTGTCAAATTGGTGTGCATCTCCCGCCGGGAATGGTGCAAGTTGTCGATGCAGAATTCTTGAGAGGTCCAGGAAACTCTTGGACGATCTAAGATACGAAAGTCTCAGCAGCGCTTCCAAACCCTTCTCTACTTTCAAAATGGGCTGTACAGGGATACATAGTTCCTAATCAGGAATTGAAAGCTGTCACACAATGGCTTCAAAGGTATGATCCGTTGCTCGGGAGTTGAAGGACAGTCGTCTAAAGTGTGCTCGATTCAAGCGTCCTTACGTTCGCACATGTCAGAACCTGACACCAGGAGTTGTCTGCGACCGGCACTTGTTGGACAGCCCAGAATAAATCGATAGAAACTACTGCGTAGTGCTTAGAATCTTCGGAGTTGGTATGCCTTGTGGTTACTCGCTACTTAAGTAAGCGCCTCAGTCTGGGCGAGGTCTTTCTAATCCACTTCGTAATGAAAGAAACGGTAAAATACTTGGCAAAAAGTAACCACCGTCAAAATTCTGGCAAGGCTTCTCCCGCTTGGAGGATCCAGTCGTATGACGTGAGCTTCTGAGCTTGGTGATGACAGCGGTACGATCACGTCAGGATTACAACATCATCAACCCTGGCATGCTAGAAGCTTTGAAAAAAACGCTTGAAATAGGTGTTCGGCTCTAGACTTTCCTTGTCGATTGTTGGCAAGGAATCGCCAACCGTACTCGTCAACGCTGCAGAATTTATAAGGCTGATCGTTTTTTGCATAGCTTTCAAAAAATCGAGAACTTTCGCAGGGGGGCGATCGGCGGTGCGCAGCGCAACTGGCTGGCGCATGCGGACTGGGGCAGCCAGGACGAGCGGCCAATTCGAGGGGGCGGCCCAGGGAGCGCCACGTGTCTCGCTCTGAATGAGATCTACTGCCGGGCGCTCGATGCGGGGAAGTCGGGCGAGAAGGTGCGCGGGCGTACTTTTCGGTTGGCGATTTTCGGTTGGTGCTCAAGGACCGGAATGACCGGAACTTTATGGTTGCACACATCAAGGAGGCGTTGAGACAATCGAGAAGGCACCGTGAAGATCGAAAGGCATTTGCATTTGGGCCAACAATCTTAAACGGGAGACCGGACAATTCATTCCAAGCAGAAGCTCGTTCTGCGAGGGACTGCTTAGCCATGTTTTGCTGAGACACTTTAGTCATGAAGGCAGGTTGTCATCCAAAAATCACTCTTGACCCGTAACTCCGTTGAACTTCAATCCTCCTCTAGTTCCCCTCTTCTTTTCCCAATCAAGTATCGTACGTCTCCGTTCTCATTCAACGTTGCATAGCATTGACCCAAGTTTGTCTTGAATCTAACCTGAAGCTCAACCCCTCCAATTCCAAAATGCAAATCTAAATCCCAAAACGCATCTCAAGAGAATGACGGTTCGTCCTTGATCCTAATGCTGCCCGAATCCAAACCCCCGGTAATATTCCGTTTGCAGGTCAGCGTCCCGCCGGAACTGCTCGCGTCGCATTACCCGTCGTACATGGAGAAGGGCAAGGAAACGCGCGAGCGGGGGGGCAATCTGACCGCGTTCACGGAGTACGAGTCCAAGTCTGTGCTGGGGCGGATTTACCAGCGCGTTTATCCACTCCTGCACGAGGCGCAGGAAAAACCGGGTGAGGACACAAAAACTCTCATTACTTTGGCGTTAAGAGCCGCAGTGCTTTCAGATTTTGAGTCACTAAGTAATCTGGGCAATTTGAGTACTTTGGGCAGTTGTTTAGCTTGTTGGTTATGAGTTGGTGCTGGGGTGAGTACCAGTGGGTGTATCCACGCTTGCCTGACGCGCAGGAGAAGCCGGGTGAGCAACGAGAAGACGGTCTTGTAGTTATCTTTGGGGTTGAGGACTTCCGTGCTCTCAGATTCTTGGCAACCTGGGCGACTCGAGTACTCTGGGCGGTCGTCAAACTTGTTAATCTTGAGTCGGTGCTGGGCGGAAAAAAATAGCGGTTGTATGGCAGTTGCACCAGGCGCGTTAAAAGCCGGGTGAGTAACGCAAGAGGCTTTCAGTAATCAGAGACTAAGAGTTGCAGTGCTTTTACGTGGGTTGCGGGCATCTGATCATGCGCTGGTGTCGGCGCAAATGCATCGGCGAAGGTTTCAACCTTGCAAGAAGCGGAGGGAAAGTGGGCTCCGTAGCACGCCGCCAGACCAATTTAAGTTGGTACTCGATGTCTGATTCTATTGTGAAGCATTCGAGACTTGAATTAGACCTTCAAACGAGCCCGCCATTGCTTATGCTGGACTGAGTATCGAAGTTGGTGCATGGGCGTACGCGCCAGGAGAGCAGAAGCCAGACCAGAGGCGCTACACACCTTTGAATCTTTCTTTCGAAGTTTAGGGTCTCAGGATCTGAGAATTAATGGGCAAACCTGATAGTTATTCTGAAACCTAGCTGGGGCTTGGGGGAACGAATCTTTGAGCGGGGTTATTTTCTTGGGGGCCGAGGCACAGGATTAGCCTGATGAGCGCAGGGGCGGAAAACTTCCCGGAATTTGGCAATCTCCGTCTGCGGCTTTGTGAAACAGAAGCTTCACACGGAATACGAGCGCTTTTTCCGCCTCACACGCATCGTAAGTGGTCAATCTGCGACCGGGGAAACCTCATTGGTACTATTCGTACAAGCCTTTTGGCTGACACGACCAGATTTGCAGAACTTTGCGTTGACTTCCTCGAGTCCAGGAAATTTCCAAGTGAAGCAAGCGCCGACCTCAGGGGTATCAGAGCGGCGAAACCGGCTCGTTGGAGTGGTGAAAGTGCTTGTGAATTTGGCTCCGTTCCGTCAATAAAGGGAGCCTCCGCTTATACCAAGCTGTTATCAGGGCCGTCATGATTGGCAGAGGCGCTTAGCCAATTCTCCCTGTGTCTGTCTCCGCAGAAAAAGTGCTTCCCTGACAAAAACCAAAAACCCGCTAAGATCTTGGTACCGACAACCCGCTGAGATTCTCAAATTCGGACGCTGCAACCGGTTCACAGGATCCGGTCTGCGACGAGAACTCACGAATTTTAACCACGTCCCTCAATGCTAACGACCAGAAATGGTAACCACTCTTACCACAAAACCTTGAGTACCCTAACCCCGCAACGTTTCGCAGAGGAGGTAATCTTCGACGAAGACCTCAAGCTCGACTTGGCGGGGAACAACGCCCCGGTCTGGACGCAGTGGACGAAATGGCTGCACGAGTACAACCAGAGCGTCCGAGAGGCGATGTCCGGGCACCGTGCGGACGCCCGCGAGGCCGCAATGGAGCAGGTCAAGCTCAAGTACAAGCGGGTGAGGGCTGGGCTGCTGTGCAAGCGCACCTGCGCGCGCAACATCTGTACGTTGAAGCGCGAAAGTTTGGATGCAATCGGGCGCGGTTTCTAAACGACAACGCGCTGTTTGGTTGCATTTGGGTGCGTTTTTCAAGCACAATAGCGCACAGTTTCGAGTCCCGTAAATGGGTGCGGGGATGTTCAACCAGGTACGTGGGGACCGCCTATGAATGGGTGTATAGCCTATGGGCTCTGGACGCCAGGATGCTTGCGGGGATGGCGAATGCGAGATCTGTTTTTGGATCGAAATACTGAGGGTCGATTTTTCGACACTTGGAAGTGAGATCCGGATCCGAGCTTAAAGGACATCAAAGTGGTCTAAGTACGGAACAAAAGTATTTTCGACCGTGTGATGAGTGCCTATGAGCCAGGAGCTTTATGCTCATAGATCGCACACGTGAACGAAGACACGACTGGGACTGCGGTCCGGTCCTCAAAGAGGAGCTCTTATGCGGAAATTCGGGAGCAGCCACATGAGGCACAGCAGGCCGTTGGATGGGCTGTAAAAGACGTTGCCTGATTCCACGTCACCGTATCAGCATGCCGTACAATCTGCTCCTCACTCCGAACGTCGTCGGTTTGTCCAACAGTTCACTACATTCACGGTACACTTGTGAAAAAGCGCGGCTTAACTTGGTCGAATTCCAGGTCCCGCAGATATCGCGGCACCGTCCGATGACCATACCACGTGCTTTGCAGCTCCCGAGTGTTCGGAATTTCTGACAGGTACCGTGCAGGACCGGGCCTACGGCCAGCGTACACTGAGTCTGAAGCTCCAAAATTGCTCAAATCAGACCACAAGTACTTGCAGTCGGCATTTCACTTCTTCACTTTTAACGCACAGCTTCAACATAGGCCGAGGACTTCCCTAGCTGTATTGGAAGTGTTAAGTTTTTAGGTACTCAATCCGCACTTCTCCAGCTACGCCCCGGGACCTAATCTAGCAGGGAAATGGGGCT